ATAGATAGATAGATAGATAGATAGATAGATAGATAGGATTAAAATAACATTTCTCTATTGTAAAGTAATAACTGATATCTTCATATTTCATTCAGTTGGCGCAAATATTTAATAATATGCAGGGCCAGAGCTAAGTATTCCCCACCTCACCAAATGCGATAAAATCGTAAATTAAGCGAATAAGATTGTGTAGTGGCGAATGATTTTTTTTCCATTGTAAAAAAAAGTATATATTTAACTCAATCCGCAAAATGAATTTTTCTTAACAAATCAGTATTTTTTTATATAAGTAATTTTCAGTAGACGTGCAGCATAACCAATTAGAATTGGATTCAAATAGTATGAGCCTGATACAAACTACTGTAAAACAGTTTTCTATGGGGGGGGGGGAATTAATCATAAGAAATCGGTAAAATTTGCATTTGGCGAAGACTTTCGAAAATTGGCGAATACTTTTGATATTCGGTTAAGCCACCACTTGCGAAAAATAATTTCAGCGTGAAAGATACTAAACATGCTGTCGAAAGTTAGGCAAATAAGATGAAGTGACATTTAACTATTTTCAGACATATAACTGCATTACTCCATTTGTTATTCATTCAAATTTTCTTTTCAATATTTTATATTGCTGTCCCTATAATAAAACAAAACTTTAATTTTTAAATTTTAATGACAAAACCACACAGCACAAGATGCATCGAAAATATTTTTAACTTTCCAAAACATATCAAGATTTATATTTAAAGATCAGAATTCGAGATTTTATTTTATATTTTATTTAATAACTGGTGTTGAACAGCAGAACCAATTCTGAATTAATGACTATCAATGCTCAATTCCGTAGCTTTGTAACTTTGAACCCAATCCAGAAGACATTCTAGCCTCATTGGAGGATTTTTTGATGTTACTAATCCGCATTTGTGCACCATGGAGAGGAAAACCTCCCATGGTTAACCCGATGGCAAGAGGTTTCTAACCTATGATCCGTCAACCACTGAAGATATTTTATGTCAGCACTGTGAACGGTGCCAGCCAAGAGCACAATTGGTATCAATCGGCCAACGCTGGGATTTGTACTTGGGAGGTGAGCGCTCAATCCCCTGTGGTAGACGGATCATACATTAGAGTCCCCTTGCCATCGGGCTAACCGTGGGTGGTTCTCGGGGTCTTCCGCTCCATGTAACGCAAATGTGGGTTAGTTCCATCAGAAAAGTCCTCCACGAAGGCAAATTTCTCCCAATACTTGATCCAGGAGTTCCCTTGTCATCTGGATTGGGTTCAAAATAATAAAGCTACGGGATTGAACATTAGTAGTGGTAAACCCAAAAATCGAGTCGACTGTTCAATGTCGATTATAAAAGGAAAAAAAAAGCAACTTGTGTGATTTTCTTTTTTGCATAAAAGTTCTGTGTTTTTGAGGTTGTAGGGCTTTTCTACTTAAGAATTCTTCTTCTTGTGTTGGAGGATGCACATTATTTAAACACGAAAACAAAAAATAGCATTCATTTAGTCCAATTATACATTATTAAATCTTAACAATGGAGTTAGTTCATTGATAAATAAATTAGTGCCAATAAAGAGAAGGAAAAGGGATGACTAAGATTAGAAATTTTTAAAAATATTTAGCCGGGATTATATTTAGTGGATTGGCGCAAACCACTTCTTTTCAGTTTGAGCTCCTCATTAATATTATTGTCAGATATTTCATTAACTTTAAATAAGGAAACTTTCAAAGCAATAAAAAATAACTTCTTAATTTTATTCATAATTTCTGTAGTAGAAAATTAATATTTGAATTCCTTTTTGAAAGAGGAGTGAAATTTAATTACAAATTCACAGATATGACTTCATTTAATTTAATTTGGAAGCCAAATGTGTTCGAATCATTTACTTTAGAAAGATTTCATGAATAGAAGTGCTTTTATGATCTATGCGCATTTATAATAAACATATGTACAGATTTTTACAATACACTTGTATACATTTATTCAAATTTTTGATAACTATTTTTAAAAAATATTATTTTAGCAATCGTATATAAAACATTTTCTATATTTCTATATGTTGTCTTATTATTAACTATTTGAATACCCGTTCATCATTAGGAGTGAAAACGAAAGTCAACAATTTATAAATTAGTACTGAACAACACAATTAATAAAGATAAAATAATTCCGATTATTTTTATTACCACGCATATTTAGTTCATCCCTGTGGCTTTACGTTATCCCATAAGTTTATCCCATTAAAATGAAGATTAAAGGAGTCTTCATACCGACTGCAACAACAACAAATCGCATGTTGCAATGACTTTACGCATGCGCACTTCTTTCATCCTCCCTCTGTTGCNTACAATTTTTGGAAAATGTAATTTTATGCAAAAGTAAAACATAAATGAAAAAAGAAGAACACCCACACATTCTTGTACTTCTCATAAAGTAGTATGCCATGGTCATATTATAAAGGGTCATTAAATAAAAGGTGTCCACTCGGAAATTCCGAAGAGTGAAATATTAATCTCATAAATTCCTATCAACTTGCGAATGTAAGAAAAAACTATATTGAAGCATTTGCATATAGAAATAAAATCCTTTTTATCACTTCTGTATAAAATGTTAAGTTGCAAACTTGATATATTTGTAATATTCAAAATATTGCTCACAACAATGTTCAGAAAAAAAAAACATTTTTCCTAACAAGACTTTTGATAATAAAATAACTTCTGTTTTTCATTTATCCTAACTTTTTTTATTTTAATTATTTAATATTCCAGCAATTTAGTTTATTTAACATTCCAGCAATTTAGTTTATTTAACAAAATAAAAATACGTGTTATAGCCGGAAAAAATTGATTCAGTTCTAATAGTCATCAAAGGCACTTTATTTATTGCAAATGTGCAGAAGGTTGGCTATGAAGCCATTAGTCCTCCGGCCTTCCAATATCTCTGAACATTACAAATTAAGAACACAAGCGCAGAACACGAGTCAAGATGAGTATAGTGCTGCTTCGAGAAGAACTCCTCCTGACTGAAAGTCTGGCGATGTCTGCTACTATGGTAACAAGCGAGAGCTCATTTCTAATGGGGATGAAATGAAGGAAAGAAGGTGTCGATTGGATTGATTTACTCGCAACGACCTATGCCAAGATTAAGACAAAATTATTCACCCCACATCCCTATTCGAAATGTCCTTTCCTCGTAACCATAGTACCCGCCATGACGCGAGACGAATGTCTGGAGGAGTTCTCCTGAAAGTCGCACTATAGCATCAAAAATTTGATGCTGTCTACACAAAAGACAAAAAGGAGAATCACAAAGCCCAAACCGATACAAATACGCGAGCAAACAGTCATGGCCTGCAGTAAGGCGGAAAAGTTACACAGCTGTTCTTCTAGGAAAATCTGGAATCAACCGTTTATCCTCAAGCAGTGGGGCCCATTGCTTACCGGCAGAGTAACATAATGCTTTTTGCCTTATCCTGGTGTTATATCTTCTTTTTATCAGGAGTTTGACTGAATGAAAAGAGAGGCTTTCTAAAGGTCTCTGGAGGAAAGGTCTCTGGAAGTTGACAGCCTCGTTTCCATGATTCCCACAATGGCCAAAGATACTAATATTGTACCCATTCTAGTATATTTATTACTTATCAAAACTGAACTGATACTCGACTTAATAGGTAAATGACGCGAATTTTTAGATTTTCTTGCTATGGTGGATATGTGGAATCTGCCTACCGTAAGTAGTAATCTTTATGCTCCAGACATTCGACTGAATAGTCAATGAGTCCTATGAATATGTCACTCCAAATAAGTACGTGGTTCAATTAGCACGCCTAGTCTTAGCCTATTTTTTAAATAAACATAGAGTAATTTTGGTTTTTAAGTGCAATCTGCCTTTTTATTCAAATTGTATTTCCACAATTGATTCTAAAACTGAATATTAATTTTTTTTCATTAATCATGTTTTTAATCATTCAATTAAAGACGAAGTGTGTTGGAAATTCATAAAGCTGATGGAATTGATGGAATTGGCCCCATCAAGTGGACTTTGTCGTTATGTTTGATGGCTGTCTTCATACTCGTCTACTTTTCTCTCTGGAAAGGTGTCAAAAGTTCTGGAAAGGTTTCATCACAATTTTATATCCAACATTTATCAATATTTAAAAATTGATTTTTATTTTCTGAGTAAACAATATTATTTTAACTTTCAGGTGGTTTGGTTCACTGCCACAATGCCGTATGTTGTGCTTTTTATTCTATTGTGCCGTGGTGTGACTTTAGAAGGTTCTATGGATGGAATTAAATACTATTTGTATCCGAAATGGGAGAAACTACTCGAAAGTGAAGTACGTTTTTCGATCGTTTAAAATGTTTTAATAGTTTATAATTTAAAAAGTATCAAATGATAACATGTACATGGAAAATTTTATTTTCTTCAAAAATAACGTTAAAAAAGAAGGTATGTTTCGAACACTCAAAGTCAATTTTAAAGACGATCACACGCGAAAGAAAACAAAAGCATATTTGATACAGAAAATGTAAATTTACCGAATGAAAAAAATGAAAAGTAGTTAACAAACGTGGGAAAGAAAAGAAAAACCGAGGTAACCAATCAAAACAACAGTGGCGGAAAGATGCAAATAAAGGTAGGATACGTTTCCAAGCGGAACGCAAAATCAGTTTGGAACATATCAATAACTAGGAAATTTCATTAACATCAAGGAAACAAGATTCAAGAGCATAAATATCAGCTATATGTGACAGGGATTCAAAACATTTTGCTTTTGCGATTTATTTTAAAAATGGGAGTCTTGGTTTGAGTGCTCGAAGGATTGGCGGACTTTATCCACGTTAGTTTTTAAGCAGATGAAGTTTTCTATTTACAAGCATGGAATTTCTCTTTTCATTAAATGGTATAGTTTTCAAATACATTCTGATTCTCTAAACAGGTAAAATATTAGATAACTCGGAAAGATTTTGATTTCAATCAGAAAGAGCAACAATTTAATTACTTTAAAAGTTGGGATTTTTTGTTATTTTACATTTTTGATCAAGTCAGTTTCAATAAAGTCTAGAATTTTCGCTTATTAGTTATCATTTTATTGTGCGTCAGGGGGCTTTCACTCAGACTTGTGCAAACATGTCTACTGACTATTACAGCATACATTACAGGGGTAGTAAGACACATCATAAGGATTACAAATTGCATAGCTACCTGTGGCGGAACATGTAATTATACACTGAGTGGCCAAATTATTATGACCATCCCTTCAGTCGTCTGCTTCCATAACCTATACGGCGCAACGTGCGTCGAACAGTACGTTCAGAGACGTTCACAGTTGCTCCTTGATTAAGATCACTTGCAATTTGTCGCACTGTTGCTCTCCTGTTACGCTGCACAATCCTGGTCAGCCTTCTCTCTGATCGAGCATTCAGTACCCTGTGACGACCACAAGTCTGACGTTGAGACCCGGTTTTTTGCTTGATTGTCCATTCTTTGTACACATTAACAACTGCTGCTCTAGAACACTTCACAAGTGCAGCCGTTTTGCTGATACTCGTTCCGACACATCTCGCACCCACAATCATTCCACGTTGAAATTCAGTTAAATCACTTTTCTTTCCCATATCTGAGCAAGCAACCTGGTTTGCATAA